GACGCACCTTAATTTTTAAGCTATTTTAATATACCGCTTACCGCGGCATCGAATATATTTTCAAGACGCGGATATTTTAAATCAAACATTGTACATTTTTATATTAATTTCAAAATACGGTAAATCGAATACAATGCATCCCAATCTTCTCGCGATTGATTTTATCTTAGACGTCACGATTTCGCGCTAAAACAAATGTATTTGTGGAAGCTTACAGTACTGAGGTCCGTTGCTTCGCACTGCATGTCGAACAAGTGGCCACAAGTATTATTAGCAACTCTTAGGTGCCACTGTCGTATTTATAGTACACTTTGTAACGTTGAAAAAAAAACATACCTTTTCATCGAGTGGTCATTTTTCTCGCTTTCATTATCGAATGAACGCATAGAGTACGAACACCAGTTTTTAGAACGCAACGACCTGGTACTTAACGGGTTAATCTGCGCGTACTATATCGTTGAAAACTTATCGTTGTTATCTGTAGGGGTATTAAAAGTACCGCGCAGCACGAAGTTTCTGGATTCTTGGTTCGACGTGGAACAGGATCGACCAATAGTTAAAACAAACGAAGCGACACGCGATAAATCTAACAAAACAATAATCGACTGTTTTTTCCATCGGGGAAGACACAATTCTTACTATCGAATTACTCGATTACTCTTCACGGCTCGATACACCTGTATCAACTCGAACGGACAATGTCGAACTTCCGCGATGCACGATCTTTGTCGTTAATTCAATTACGATCGACGATTAATCTAAATAAATGTACGTTTCGTGACGCAGAGGCGTACCTGCATCGATAATATTGTGGCGACGCTGACGCAATTATACGGAATTCCTTTTGGTCGGAATCCCTTGGTCGCGAAAACGCGATACGAAAATATTTTCGCCCAATAATGCAACCGAAAGCGCAGCGACGATAAACGTAATCGAGCTCTCGATTACAACGGCTAACAAAGCGCTAGAAGGAATGTAGGCTGACGCGAAGTTAATTCTTAACTAGCGTTTGCTTCGCGAAAACCAGCTGCTCGCGTGCAATCGACCTATCGCAGTTGTCGCTTTCTGTTCTCGTCGTTTAAAGGCCGCCGTGAAATATGCACACCGTTCACGGTCCCTGAAGTTCGAAGAAACTTCAGCGAAGAACGTTCGACGAAGTTGAAACGTCACGACGTCGAGTGCTGCGAGCTTTTCTGTTTCTTTCATAACGCCCCTTGTGCTACATAAATTCAATAACCGTACCTTGCCGGTGAAGCAACTATGATTGTTTACCGAATAATCGTCAAGATTATGCAGATTGCCGAGATCAATCTGCCGACTGTACATATCTCGAACGTCTGGATTGCGCGACGGATAAATAAACAATGAGAGAATTTTTACAGGCGCGAGGTGAAACATGCAAAGATAATTTTCCTTGGTCAAATTTTCCATCGGTTTACGCGACCTAGTTGTGTCACGTACGCCATGGTAATAAGCATAACAAGGACCTAGACCGACACATATTAATCCTTCGGTGGAGCAGTCCCTGCTTTGTAACACCCAACAGACCGAGACAATGAAATTTAGGTACCGTAAAAGGTAGGCATAAAAGTTCCGATCGGAGCTTGGATTACCGTCTTAGAAGCTATCCACAAACGTTAAACCTGCCTTGGATGACTATTGAAAATCTGGAAAATACTCAAAGGGTCCAATTAGAGGGGTAAACAACTGCGAGTAGAAATTCCTTGCGCAAAAGTACCTGATATACGACACAAAAGAAGATACTAGAGCAGTCCCAACCCTGTGTTCGATCGACATAGAAAAGAGACACGAGGAGAATATAGGAAAAGAAAAGTCACGCGATAAGTGTAGATTTTGGTTGGCAACGGCGAGGCACATTTTCGCGCCTAAAACTGTGCCCAACAGATGGAAAAAACCCGAGTCGAAGGAATGTATTATTTACTCTGTCCGAATCGAGCAGCGCGTTACAGGTTGGCGCCGTGCTTCTCGTCCGAGAAACAATTTTAGCAGTGAGACAGCGAGCCTGTGGCTAATGGAACGAAGACGGAATCTTGGCAACGAGCCGAAAAACTGTGCCGCGAAGGTTAAAGATTCCGCGCCGATGGGCGTCCTCGGATTGATGGGAAACAACCTGAGGACGAAGGCGTCGTTTTTCATTTTTGGAACTGGAGGAGAGTTCGTCGGGTTCGTTCGCGTCTCTGTGTCTCGGTTTATCGTGCATCGCGCAGTCGTTTATTAACCCCATGTCTTACTAACAAATTAATTTCATGCGAACCGATAATTTCTTATTACAAATGTATCATCCGTATATAGAATGCGATTATTAGCGTTCAAGTTTTGATTGCGCTGCATACAGGACTCGGTATATGTAGATACGGTAAGACTGATCGGTCGTTATTAACTTTTGCCTTGGAACGCATGCATATTAATCATTGATGATGCATATTTATTGCATCGTGGATTGGATAAAAACTGTAACGAAGTTTCGAAGAAAGATATAAAAATGTATACAAAGCGAGACACGCTGTCGTTAAGCCACCTCGATCGTCTGTACGAGGATGCCGAGGCTCGCTACGATCAATCCTTCGTCCTATCTGCCGAGAATTAATAATCAAAACGTACAAGTCACATTGTACACAACGGGACTTACTACTTTCTATTTTTACGAAAGGCTATTTTTGACCATCGCTGTTCTCCAGCCGTGGGTAAACGTACAATCGAAGCACGATCGATCGAATTCCATCCACGGTTTAATGCCATGGTCTTCTACCAAAACTCGGCGACAAGAATTTATCGATCTTTACGCGAGAATCGTTCGTTCCCGCCAAGTCGCCGATTGAATGGAGCATAATTTTAGCCACCCTGGTTACGATAGTCATTCACAGCGATAATGATAAACACGACGCGATTCCTGACCGATGAACACGGTGCACCGACCTCGGTCTAGTCCACCCACGTGCAAGCATTTCCTGTCTTTCGAGGGCTCTATTCCTAGATTTCGCGCGACCGTCTCTTTCCAGAGATGAAAAAGTACGAACGCAGATGATAGATGTAGAATGCTCGAAGCACGTAGAGGAATAATTTCGCGATGACGCGGATACGTTCGGCTGGTCGATGAATCCGTGAATTTTTTTCACAAAAATAGATCAAGACTCGCGGCTGTTGCTGTCATTATTTTGGCGACTACCGTTCGCGATGAAAATCTCTATTTGGCAAACGAAGCCACGAACGGACGGGAGGAGTGACGCACGGGCCTCCGGAAATAAATTGGTCACGGCAGCATCACCCGAAAAGCATTTACGACTTCTTAACCTTGGTACAACGAGATGCTGAACGGGATCGTCGAATTAAAATTCTATTCGCAAGACGGAAGGTTTGCAAAAAAACTGCACTCGCCAACCGCGCACGATCATCAACATAGAGCGTTTGAAATCATTTTAATTCTGCGTGTGACTCTCGCCCTCGAACGATTTGCGTGAGTTACGCATCCCGCAAAAGTATTATCTGCGTTTTCCGATGTAGGACACCGATGAACCTGATCTTGTAATCGCTTCGTGCATCGTATAGTGGCACGAATGATTATTGAAACTAGTTGCGACCGCTTCGATCCAAAAGATATTCGAGGCATACGCTACAACGGGCTGGAAATAGAAGCTGTGCAATCGTTCGAACAGAAAATCCGATACGCAGGAGCGATCGTTCGTCTCCCAAGACAAACAATCTCGCTTCTCGTTGCTTTTGCATCGTGTGATGTGTTGCGGTGCAGTGGTTGTAAATCTCTACGAACGAAACGGTGGTGCTGGTTTCCAAGCTGTACACAAACATATATACTGCACGGAACTAGAAAGATCGACCCTGAACGACGATGGGGTAGAGCCGAGTCTACACGAAATTTCGTAGGTCGTTTTATTCAATTATGACGGACGTTCCATTTCTTTTTTTTTTTTTTTTTTTTTTTTTTTTTTTTTTTTTTTTTTTTTTTATTCGAACTTCGTCCAGAGCCGATCTCTGCAGCTCTTCGGTACACACGCATGCATGTTTAATATCGTTGCTCGGTGGTGTATTCTCGCCAAAGGGATTCTAAATACAGAAGAGAATGTGTCAACAGAAACGAACGACGATTAAAGTAAAGGTACACGGTCGAGGAGATGCTCGACCGCGGGAGGTTCAAGAACGTCGAGAAAGAGAGCCGGGTAAGTAAGCGTGTTTCGCGTCTCGTGGTTCTCGATTAAATTAAGTATATAACTTTTCCGAGTTCGACGTTTGGAGGAACGACAAGGTCGCGCGTAAACAGTAGGCAAAAGCAAACGCGGCGTGAAATATGGTCGGTTTACCTGGTTAAACGACGACATTCGGAAAAACATGTTTTCCTACCGGGAAAACTGAACGACGAATGTCAATATACAGGGTGTTTCTGAATTAAATGGGCAAACTTGAAAGATGAATATAGGATTCCAAAACAAAATTAAGAAATTTCCTCTAGAAATATTTCAGTGTTTTGCAAACGTTTTGTTTAAGAGCTACTGAATAATGTTGAAATTAGAGAAAATTGTTTGTTTTTTTGGGGGTCCTGAATTCATCCTTCGAGTTTGGTCATTTAATCCGGGAACACCCTGTATTTTCCGAATCCGAGGGGTTAGGTAAAATAAAGTTTAAAGAAAGACTGCAATTCCATCGCTCAGCGTAACGATAAATTACAAGAATCCCAGCGATTATTCAACGTTCCAGTTTCCACCGCGCGTGTTATCCAATTTGTCGCGACTCGATCCAGCGATTTCGAACATCGACGCGACAAAAGCGTCGCGACGGAAGCACGATTGACAACGATGCATCCGCGATGGGTCGGGCCGCAGCGTCGCGTGACAACGGTGCACCGTAGAATCCGTACAAGCGGAGGGTGTGGCTGTGTAAACTAGAAGGTGCGTTACCGAACATCGAACAATCAATTGGGTGCCTATGTAAAACGACCGTCAAAAGGGAGGATCGGAGAAACTCGGTACCTCCGGGTCCTGGATCTGCTCGGAATCCGCCGACGTACTCGACGTCTTCAGGATGCTGTACAGCTTTACGTAGGGGGCCTTGATCAGCTGTTAGCCAATATAATCGGCCGTTTTTAGCGATTTATTTTCTGGCTTTCAGTCCAGCATCCTCGATCCTCGCGAATAAAAATGGTCAGAGTATCCTCGCATTCGTCGTAACAGAAAAAAAAAAAAAAATAGGAATCCTCGTTTCCAAGCAATGACTAACATCGTCAAATATTTGCGCGTGTTTGCTCTTCTCAGCAAAAGTTAATAACGCGCACCGAGGAACTCTGAGAGCTTCGTGGCGTGGATCGAGACGCTGGGCATGCTAACGATAACCTTCGTTTGAAAAATGAAAAAATTCATCGGCCATAAAAAGAAAAACAGAAGCTCGGAGATGCTTGCTAGGTGAGAACAGAATCGATACTCGGTGCCATGTCGAAAAAGGGTGGTACGGTTTGATGATGATTGTGCGGAGAAGACGAGCTGTGCGAATGAAACGAACGGTAACGCAGGAATGTCGTAGACAAAACCTGGTGCGTTCGACGACGAACGATGACGGTAAAGAAACAAAAGGAAGAAAGAAACTCGCGGAGTGCGCGTATGCTCGAGAAATAAAACTGTATGAACAGTGCCAGATAGTAATTCGATCGAGGTGCAGGAACTCGTGCCTGAGATCCAAAAGAACGACGAAATTCATGGAGACGATGATCGAATGGGAAATCAATCGTGTTGCGAATAACGATGAATCAGTTTCACTGCCACCCTGAACGACCCATCGATTCTAAGCGAACCGAGTGGAAAAAACTATTAGACAGAAAATCCAGGACAGTCAGCGTGGCAACGACGAACGATTCGATGACAAAATGAAACTTGGAACAAAACTTGATGGTCCCAACCGGGTCGAGTATACGTCTTTAGAGGTAAGAAATGATCGAAAGCTAAGACTCACCTCCCACGACTCTCTGGTCAGCTCCGAGATTTCGTCGCCGTCCTGGGTACGAGCTTTGCCCTCCTCCGTCGATTCGCCGCCTTCGCCGGGTTCGTGGGGAGACAATTCGGGCGACAAATCGGTGTCCGTGTCCGACAGGATGTAGCCCCGCTCCCGCCAGTAATTCTCGTCGAGTTCTCCATAAAGCGACGGAACCCACGCATGAATGAACCTGTAGAGGTCGTCCACCCTGCGAACAACAAGAACGCGTTCCTATTAATTCGGTGCTGCGAACGTTCCTCCTTCCCACTGGTGCCCGGATGCACTCTTAACCTGCGCTACTATCGTTCACCGTTATCTACGCTTAGATAACTATAATCAGTTTGCGAACGAGTAGTTTTCCGTTGCCACGGCTAATATTAACCGATGTGCCAAAAATATTCAAACCTTAATCGAGTAACTATTCGATCGAAGTATTAGGTATCGGTAACAGTACGGAAGATATTTCATCTATAACCGAAGATACAATGAAGCTTTTTTTTTTCTTTTTTTTTTTTCTTTTTTTTAAATAGATGATATATTCGCTTAGTACCTTCGATTGACGAACGGCAGGAAATTCCTAACAGCGGGCGACACGTGCTCGTTATAAATAAAATTCATCGCGTTGCCAACTGTGCTCAGTGTCCAATTCATGGTGGCGTATTGCGAATCAGGCGTTGGGGATCTCTAGATTCAAACCGACTCCGACTTTCTCTCTCGTGACTCGCGTTTCGACGACCCTGCAAGGACGTTTCCTATTTCTTCGCTGCGACAGCTACGTTACGTCTCGGCCTCTTTTTTTTTTTTCTCCTGGGATGCAGAGCTAACCCGCGCGGCTACGACTCGCGCGAATGCGACGCGAGACTCTATTTCTGAACGCGGCTACGGCTGCATTTCGGACAATAACCAGACCAGCTGCGCGCTGACGCGTAACAACTGTTTTTCGACGTTCACGACACCGTGGAATTTCAGCGAAAATTGGGAACGATAACGCGAGACGGTGTTCGCCGCGAGATACGATAGCGGAACGATGACGTAACGGAGAATTCTGACGCGACACTTGTTAGCGTCGCGCAGGTCAACGAAGAAGAATTAGCGGAACGTGTGACGATAGAATCGCGCGTACCTGCAACGATTATCCGAAGTGACGTAAGTCGACTGCAACATTACGCGTTCGAAATTTCAGACGAATGTTTGTGGAGGTTTTCTTAACGGTTCATCTCTTTTCGTCACGTTAACAAAAATAACGCTGATGCGGTACAGAGGATTCGGATTGTATCTACTTTGTTAATTGACTCAGAGTGGTTATAGTGGTGCCATCTATGATCTCATGAAACGAGAGTTCTGACTTGGCAAACTTAGCAAATACAACCGCCGTCGAGCTTGGACGGATCGAAAGGAATTTAAAGATAATTTTGTACCATACGAACGGTGGTATGTACTGCGCGTTACTTTATCTATTGACACTGTCTCTCACTTGCTGACTATCTCGTTATCGTCCACGCGTTATCGCAAATATATTAATGATTCTACGGCGCATCGTTCGCTAGCTAGCAACAACTTGGGACCTGGTATGCGGAATTTACAGCAACGGGTTACGTTCCAGCCAAGGGTACCACGCTCGGTTTTATCGGAAGAAACTATGCACCACCGCCAGTATCTCGGCATTCATCAACGGTAGTGTAGCCACGGATAATGCCCTCGGGCCTCTGTGGCCATGCACCGTGAAGCAACGAGAGGTCAGCGAGAGATATGTCGTCTCCGCCATGCAACGAATGACTCGGACAGTCCAGACCTGCCGTGTTACCTAATCTCTAAACGCGTGACGGCCGGCAAGCGACCAACTCGGCCTCGTCCTTTCGATTTCTCGAGGAATCTATCGCTACCGTCACCCTTCAATGTGCAGGATTACGGTTGCGTGTAGATCGTACGTAGAGAAAGAGAGAGAGAGAGGCGCGCACAGAAAGACGTACGGAGACACACTGGATTCGCGCACATGGATGAGTAGAATTTAAAAAAGAAAAAAAAAAAAAAAGAAAGAAACACCATGGAACAGGTACACGGCGTTCCCGGCGCGTTTTCTTCGCTCGACTAAACTTATATCTCGAGTGGCGAACATGGAACGGAAAAAATTGCGAGCACGTTCGACGATACGCCGAGTGACTTGGCGCAAGTCACGTGACGCGGCTCGCTCGGTTCACGTGTACCCGTAAAACGCTCGCGGTATCAAAATCCGATCGCCTCTCGAGAGGGGAGCGAAGGTTGCAACGCATACGATGCTGACAAACGAGAGATAGCTTCCGATGCGCTTTGGCATGCTCTCGTTGCAACTCGCGCGACCGGAGACGGTTGGGTGACGGCATTTGTCCGACGCTTTGGTAACGTTACAGTTTCACGTTGCTGAATACTGCCACTTCTCGAACTTCTCTCTAGTCGCTCTTCGTTTTACCATACGCGACGATTCACCTGTGAAGGGTCGACTTCATGAATGATCAAATCTTAAACTTGCGGCAAGAATTGTAGTTACCAATGGGAATATACGTATTTTATCAAGGTGATTAAAGTACCTCGATACTGTGAGCGTAAGAGTTGAAGGACAGAGACACGAAATGCTCGTAAACCGAGTTTTTCGATTCCAGATACGCCTGATACGATCACGGGACGTCGTTGACCGTTTGTCTTCGAAACCTGATTCCGAGAATTACATTAACGACTTTCTCTTTGCCGAAACTACTGTTCGACTGGAAGGAAGCACGAATTCTATCGAAGAAGCTAGCGTACAGTTCCCCATCGCGAAGTATTTCCAAGCGAATATAGTCATTGACGGGTGGCGTTGTTGACAAACTTTAAAACGAGAAGTCAAGGGAGCGTATAAATAGAGAATCCAATGGCGGAGACGAGATCTATTTTGCGACTCTTGCAGCGAACCACGTGTCCGACCGTACGTTCTGGACGCTGTCGGCGTTTTCGCCGCTCAAATTTACAAAAATAACGCGACGCATGATCCCGCAAGAATCTCAACTAACGGCCAAATTCGCTCCGCTTCGACCACTCGGAAACGTCGTACGAAAATAATCCTCTTGAGGCGAGGGTACGATCGTTTCATCGTTCCTTCCGGTGGAAAACGTTCTTCCACGGAAGTGACGGTAAAGAGAACGGCAAAAATAGACGTGAATTGGAAACGGATCTACATATATACGATGACCACTCCTAGGAACCTAGGAGCTTCCGGGAACGATTGTTTCGAGAAGTGCATTCTTCGGATAAACAAGAATCATCGCGTGGACGATTTATAAGTGTGTCGATTAATCTAGAAGTTGATTAATCGGTGGAAGTAATTTGTTGTAAACGTTTCGTTTAAAAATAGAAGCAGGAAGAGCCGGAAAGCATCGATCCTGGCTCGACGCAGTTGGCCACTGTTGACCATTCGCATATAGATACAGAAGTCATTAAAATAGTGCATGTAAAGTTTATTTACCTGTTGCGCGGCACGCTGAACCAGTACTCAGGGCGTAGTTTCTTCTTTCCGTAGCTCATGATAGGCGTCGAGCGTGGAATCTTCTTATCTTTCGGTCTTCCGGTTCGAAGTCTCAGGTACAATGGTGGATCCTCGCAAGAACGGGCCGGCCGTGGTATGAGCTCTACGTAATGCGACAGAACAATTCGATGTAACACGTGTCACGCATCTTAATTAGTACTTTTTATTCGCGACCCGATTCAATCGACATTTGTCGTCGATGCACGTTGTCTCGACGCGCTTGGAACTCGCGCGAATAAAAAACAATTACCTAAATAAATGTGTATGCTCATTCGCAAGATACATTCTCTTGTGTGAAACGCGCACAGTCGAGTACACGAAAAAAAAAAAAAAAAGGGAGGGAAAAAAAATGTAATAAGCCCTTTTCGGAGAAAGTACCTCACAGTAAAAGCATTACACAGAATGTACACAGTACAAAACGTTACGAGACGCACACAACAACGCGTTTAGACACACGAAGAAATAAAACGTGAGGATCGAAAGATCGCTGCGAGTGGCGGTAATTGCAACGAGCACTGATAACCGAGCGAGTACTCGTACGGTTCGAAATTCAGTATACACGTACACAGTGTGCAGGGTGCAACGGCAAACCGAGCGTAAAAGTGGGATTACAAAGTACGGTCAGAGGAACGAGCAAACACAGTCTCGCAACACGACAGTGGAATAAAAGAAAAAAAAAAAAGGAAAGTGTCACGAGTAGAGCGAAAATCAATGATAA